GGGAATAAGATTAGTTCTGAAACGTGTGGTGCTGAATTCAGATGGGTTTGCCAGAAAGAAGCCTTCCAGTTATAAACAGTGTCTTTGACATGTGGAGCAATAGAACTGACGTTTAAAGCATCTACAGTGAGAATTTGTAACATGATTATTTTAGTTGTTTCTGTGTCTAATTATTTTAATTCTGAGGGTTTGTTACTTTAGTAACTGATTTTCAAAACAGTGTCTATTCTTCCATTTCTTGGTTGTAAGATAAGCTGTTATGAAGGGAAGGAAAGCTCAGTGGTTTGAGCGTTGGCCTACTAAACCCATGGTTGTGAGCTCAATCCTTGAAGAGGCCATTTAGGGATATGGGGCAAAATCTGTCAAAGATGGTACTTCGTCCTGCTGTGAGGGCAGGGGACTGGACTCGATGACCTCTCAAGATCCTGTCCATCTTTATGAGACAGCATATCTCCATAATCCCTGAGAAGCCATCAAGTTTCTGTTTATCTTGATTTCAGTTATACTTTTGTGAACAACTGTTTCAAAGCCTGTAGCGAAGATGGGCTGGGTCACCCACTCAATGTTCCCTCTAATCTTTTCTACGTGACGATTTTTTCCCATCTGTGTGCAGAATAATTTTTTGTGTGCACCGAGAAATGTGCACCACCAGTAGAAACAAAAGACTTAGTGGTGGGCATTAGAATCTCTACTGAGCACAAGAGCACAGCTTACAGGGAACACGGGACCCGAGTGCTGTTTTGGTGTGTTTGACAGACAGGCTTGTTTGAGATCTCTTGTACGGGGGCTACATTTTTAGAACTAGCCTCTAAATCTGTGTGCCCTAACTCTGATTTAGTTACTCAGGCCTGATAGCTGCGAGCCCATTGTAGTAAGATGAAGGCCTAAAGCATAAGCCCAAGCAGCACAGGCCTGGTAGCTAAAAAAGGACAAAACATGGCTAACATAAAGCAAAGCTAAGCTGCGAGCAAAATGCAGGCCCCTTATGTTTTAGGCCTTCATCATAATACAATGTGCTCTCCCTAGTAATAGGCCGAGGTGTAGAACAGTCATTGGTACTGGTCATAGTTGAAAGCACATGGTACCAGCAGCCCATTAAACAAGACCTTTGTACCCAGACTCCCTATAGATACCGACCAGGTTCAGGAAAGAGTCTACAATGACAACAGAATGGATAGAGATGACATAATCAAACCAGGAGGTGAGAGGTGAAAGGTGATGCGTGGGATCTAAGAAGCGTCAGAGGGTGGTAACCTGACAATGTCAGAAGGTGGCAACCCGTGTAACTTGTTTGTACCTATATATAAAATGGTGTCTTGGGAGGATGGTCTTTGTGGGAGTTTTCCACTGGTTGAGCTGAGGCCACTGTTGTAAGTACATGTGCGTAGTGATTCAGTAGAGTCTACTGACAACTATGACTGTACTTTGCTTAACAATAAACCTGGCTGGGCACCTTTGATCCTTATCTGGTTTGTGATCTTTGGGGGCTCGCTTGGGGTCTGCTGTGGAGACTAAGTGCACAAGTCAACACAACCCACATCACTGAGCACATACGCAAGGAGCCTTCTGGTTATCATCATTGACGGAGCCAGAGGACACTTCGGCAGTAAATCCTGACCACTCCAGAATAACTTCACTGGTGACCTCAACCTCTGATCTGGTAAGCAAGCAAGCTGTCCTCTGTAGGAATCGCGATCTAACATGATAGAAAGACACGTGCTAGGGAACCCCCTTGTCTCCTTCCTGAAGATCTTCACAGACTGTAATAAGCTTTGAGGGTAGCCAAGTGAGTCTGTACAAACTTAAACAACAAAGGTCTGTTAGCACTTTAAAGACTGACAAAATATGTAGATGGTGGTATGAGCTTTTGTGGGCACAGCCCACTTTTATGGACATGCAGTGTTGCTAGCAAGAAAAGCTTCATATGAGTGTAAAATCTGTAGAGGAGCAGGAACCTCTAATGTAATTTGTAAGGCTAATGCAGAGACTGTAGCCTTGAAATGGAAAATATTGCAAAGTGTAATTATGGCTATTAAATGGTTAAGACAACATGCCAGAAACCTGGCGGAGCAAGTAAGAGAAACAAAGAAAGAGTTAAAAGCATCAAGGGAAATACACAGCCCTGGAATGTTTCTGCTCCCCTAACAGGGCAGCAAGCAATCCAAAGACAGCAAACACAATAACAGAATAAAACAGAGGAAACACCAATAAGAAACCTACAAAACAGATATGTGCTGTCTCCTGTTATAAATATTGGTGGCCAACCGCAGGCTTCAGTTAGCTCCCCTGTGCTTGAAGAATGGGGGCAGAAATCAAAAAAGGTGGCCCTGGCAAAAATTAAAAGACGAGACGGGGTCCACTGCATTGCAACCACCATCATATGGTAAAAGCCAGGTTCCAGACAAACTAAGACCTAGATTAGTGCCTGTCAGAACAGGACAAGTAAGTGTCCGAAAGGAAGCAGCAAACCGCACAGTTCCAGGATTGGTAAATCCTGAATAACTACATCCATCTGACCAGTTTAGGAACAAATGTCATTTATTTTCCCCTGTTTGGGATTCTGCGTTACCAAACAGAAATTGGCTAGGCATGTTTAGAGGCAATGTTCCCTGAAACTGTGCTTATAAGGCTTTGAGGTACTAAGGGAATCCATACGGGGGAGATTTTCAAAGGCAGGTTGAACCATTAATCATCCAGTTTTGATTGGAACCAGAGTTGAGGGTCTAACTGTCCTTTGCATCCACAAAAATCTCTAAGACCATGCTGCTACTGTGCGCAAAGTTTGCAGCTTTGCCTTGAGAATGTTCTAGAAAGGGGGGGAGGGAGAAATCCCCCTCCATCTTTTTAAATTTTCCTCTCCACTATGATGGCCCAAAAGGTAGGTATGTTTCACAGGTTTCTTAAACTATTTATTTAAGAAGCTTTAACAAGCTCCTTGTAATAGGAACAAAGCAATCATTCCAACAGTTAGTTAGCTTGTGTTTTAAGGTACTTTACAGAGAAATATAATCAGATCTTTCTTTTTAACCAGGTGATACCAGACTACACAATGAGCATCATAAGGTTTATGTTGTTTCTAGTGATTTGTGGTTTTAAATGGGAAGATCTGCATAGAGCAGTGTTTCTTAAACTGTGTTCTGCGGAATACCGGTGTTCCGCAAAGAACAGAGTTCAAAATAGCCACCCCAAAATGGCCACCCTTAAAGGGGCAGGTGCCTTTTTTTTCTGCTCAACAAAAAATCTTTGGTGTTCCTCATAAAAAAGATTGTTTGGCGTTCCTCGGTCTTAAAAAGTTTAAGAAAAGTGGACCTTCCCCCGTAATGTGGACTTGGCCTGAGTCATGAGCCAGCAGAAAGGGCAACTCAAGGGATGCACTAATATAGTGTTTTTCAAAAGCAGCCACTCCAGCCTCCTAGTCAGACACAGGGAAGGGAGCAAAGCAGTGCCTTCCCTCCCTCCCCCCACGCTGCCGTACCTTGATATTCTTCATGGATGTTGTAGCCTATCAAGTTACTTGCCTATCCTGCTAATAATATGGTTGTGTTAAATTAGATTAATAGGGTAATCGTTAAGAGATGTAATGTAAGAAATCTGCTAAGGGCCTGGTCAAGTAATATGGGGATATATTTTATCTTGTGTCCAGGCTACAACAGGCCGTTCGCAAGATGAGCAGAAGCCGAGGTTAGCAGACTTCCGTGGTTAAGACATGGTCTCACCCAGATACCAGTCATGCTTATTTATGGTTTCCTGGGACTGAAAAGGAGAACTTAGGTCTGAGACCTGTTAGGGTTGCCAGGTGTTTGGTTTTGAACCGGACAGTCCAGCATTTGAGCTTTCTGTTCGGGAAACAAATTGAGAAAATAGAAATGAGAAAATAGAAATGTCCGGTATTTTCTAAATAAGATGGACTGTTGATTGTGATGTCATGTCAAGTGTGTCTGGTATTTTTGTTGAAACCATCTGGCAACCTTCAGACCTTTCAACCCCACAGGATGGTAGAAAAAATAGCCTCAAACTCAGCAGATGTATCATTATATAAAAGTCCAAAAATAATTTGTTCAGGCTGAGTTGAATAATCAAGACACAGGTTGTGACAGATAACCACAAAGGCCCATGGCAACAAACTGACGTATATCAGAATAAGTTGAGAGCAATGATACACTGACCAATAGGAAAATAATATTTCAGAATTAGAAACATCCCCTACAGAATATTCATAAAACATGTTATCATCAGCGTCACTTAGTATAAAAGTGGGATCCCAGCCTAGGGGCGATAGGGAAGAGAAGATGTAGTCCAGGGGTGGCCCAGATATCAGAAGATCCGACCCGAAGAGCCAGGGCAAAGTTGTTGAGAAAAAAACAAAACCTGCCCCTTTAAAAGGAGCTCCCAGCTGTGTTTGGTCAAGCAAATGTGTGAGCACAGAGAGCCGGGAGAAGAGGGCCATTTTCAGGGGTGTGGAGGCGGCTTTACAAGCCGCGGGGGCGTGGGGAGAGCATCATGAGCCATGCCCGGGGGTGTGCTTGTTAAGCTTATAAGAAGCATGCAGGATCTTTTCAGGGGGAAAAGGCAATATACCGTGTTTATTGAAAATATAATGAGAAAACAGTTAGCATATGATTATATACAGACAGACACACACACCTACCTGCCACTGACGGTACAGTTACCAATCTGTTGCTCACTTTAGCCTGCTGGCTAAGTAGGCTAAATGTGAATGAGGAACCAGGTTCATTTTGGACAAGACTGAGGATCCAGTCGATAGTAATGGCAGGACAAATTCAACCCAAGGCAAAACAGTTCCCCTTTTTAATTCTCCATCCGGATCAGTGTTTTGCATCATCATGCTGGTTTTCTGATGGATGTTTGTTATCTCCGGTTGTCCATCTTGCTCATTAGCCTTTCATTTTGCCATGATAAGTCCTCCTCCATTGCATCTTCCTTTGCTTTTGTATATGCGTCGGGTTTGCTGCAGATCCAGTTTCTCACAGAATAACACCTGGAAGAGCTCACAAAGATGTCACTCACATAGGCGCAGTCCCCTTCTGCTCGTACTTCAAACCTGCAAAGTAAATCACTGAGCTTGTCAAGAGCTGAATGTTTCCCCTGCCACCTCCACTAGTCACCACCAGGGGGCACTGCTTACCTACTGATGGTGAAACAGGGCTACAGATTGCACTGCTTCTCCCCTTTCTGCACCCGCAACTGGAGTCCCACCAGCCCTCCATTCGGCAGCCAAGGATCAGAACATTTTAGATAATCATTAAGTGCAGGGAGCAGAAACAGGGAGCAGAATGGAAGTTTTCCACAGCCATGCCACATTGAGCTACCTTTAGAAATGCTTTGACCTTGCATGATGGATGCAAACTAACCTGAAACTCATTCTTTCTGATAACCATGCCACACAACCGCATCATAAACCTCCAGGAACCCGGCTCTGCAACTAGAAAAGATGCCAACTCTGCCCACATATCTACACTGACGAATTCATCACTGGAGCAAACAACACAAGCCACAAAATCAAAGGGTCATTTGACTGCTCATCTAGTAATTTGATCTACGCCATCAAATGCCAACAGTGCCCCTCTTCCATATATATTGGTCAAACTGGACGTTCTCTACGGGAAAGAATCAATAGACACAAATCAGATATACATGAAGAGAATACTCAGAAGCCAGTGGCAGAGCATTTCTGTTCACCAAACCATAATCTCTTAGATCAGAAGGTGGCGGTCTTGTCACAGGCCAGCTCCTCAAGCCAAATCCACAGGGAAAGCTTGGAATTACAATACATATGCAAATTCAATTCTATTACTGATGGACTTAATCAAGATATGTCGTGGTGGACCTTTTATCATTGAAGGTGCTAACTACTTTCTGAATGGTATCCTTCCTGCCTTAGCAATCAATCTTCTGACTTTGATCTTTATTTGCTCAGGTTTAGCACCCCTTCATAAGAACATAAGAACGGCCGTACTGGGTGGCTGTGTCTACACTGGGCCACTTATTCTGGAAAAGCAGCCGCATTTCTGGAATAAGCTGCGAGCTGTCTACACTGGCTGCTTGCTTTTCCGGAAAAGCAATGATGATCTAATGTAAAATCGTCATTGTTTTTCCGGAAAAACTATGCTGCTCCCGTTCAGGCAAAAGTCCTTTCCAGGAAAACTGTTCCGGAAAAGGGCCAGTGTAGACAGCACAGTAGTCTTTTCCGCAAAAAAGCCCCGATCGCGAAAATGACGATCGGGGCTTTTTTGCGGAAAAGTGCGTCTACATTGGCACGGACGCTTTTCCTGGAAAAAGTGCTTTTCCGGAAAAGCATCCTGACTTAAAGATTTGTTTTTGTGGAGCTGTTTTCTCCACTAGTAAAAGAGTTGACTGACCGTACTGTCATATGCCTTCTTTTTTTAAATGGAACTGATGCAGAAGATCTTTTCTCACTACTGTTGACTTCCCTTCTAGTTGTTTTAAAACCTTGCTTTCATAGAGAGCGTTTGTGTACATAATGGTTAACATTAACAAAGCAAAACCTGTGAAAACCCTACATCTTAGTTACAGCGTATCAGTTATGCAAGATTGAAAACATTGGAAAGTTTGTTTGACCATTCATACTATAAATTGTTCAAATATGCTGACCTACCTTTGCCAAGGTACCTATAATAAATTAGCCAAATTATGATAGATTGATGGCAACTGGGGATAATTGACTCCTGTCTTGGCATATTTCTATTGGTTTATAAAACGTCTATGTAAGAATGGTATAAATCTGATTTTTTTCTTGTAAGTTGCTCAGAACAAGGGCTCATTATGTTTTTGTATAGCACTAGCATATGGGGATCCTGATTATTAGTAGGTGCTAACTACTTTCTGAATGGTATCCTTCCTGCCTTATCCATCCACTGACTTTGATCTTTATCTATTCAGTTCCTCATATGGGAATCCTCATACTTTATGCATAGAGGTAGAGGGGTGGGTGACAGAGCATCTTTCTCTCCCTCCTCCTCTTCCCTTCTCCTATTTATTTAGAGTTTTCTTATCCCCTAATCATAACTCCGGTCATCTGAAGAAGTGGGCTGTGCCCATGAAAGCTCACGATCCACTCTATATGTTTTGTTAGTCTATAAAGTGCTACCAGACCATTTGCTTGCTGTTTTTTTCTGTAACAGACTAACTCGGCTACCCCCTGAAGCTCGCAAACTTTATAAACACGCACAGAGCCAATGTAGCAAAATCCACCTGATTCTGCAGAGCATGGGAACTGCAGTGTGCCAGGTCAGAGAACATAAGAACGACCATACTGGGTCAGACCAAAGGTCCATCTAGCCCAGTGTCCCGTCTGCCAACAGTGGCCAATGCCAGGTGCCCCAGAACGGAACAGGGAATTCTCACATGATTCCTCCCGTCACCCATTTTCAGCCTCTGACAGGCTTGGGACACCATTCCTACCCATCCTGGCTAATAGCCATTGATGGACCTAACCTCCATGAATCTATCAAGCTCTTTTTTGAACCCTCTTAAAATTCTAGTCTTTGCTGCATCCTCTGGCAAGGAGTTCCAGGGGTTGACTGTGCGCTGAGTGAAGAAAAACTTCCTTTTTTAAATTTTAAACCTGCTGCCTATTCATTTAATTTGGTGACCCCTAGTACTTATATCATGGGAATAAGTAAATAACTTTTCCTTATTCCCTTTTTCCACACCAGTCATGACTGTATAGACCTCTATCATATCCCCTCTTAGTCTCCTCTTTTCTAAGCTGAAAAGTCCCAGTCTTTTTCATTTATCTTCATAGGGGACCCATTCTAAACCTCTCATCATTTTGTTGCCCTTTTCTGAACTTTTTCCAGTGCCAAGAGATCTTTTTTGAGATGACGCAACCACATCTGTACGCAGTACTCAATATGTGGGCGTACTATGGTTTTATATAGAGGCAATAAGATATTCTCTGTCTTATTCTCTATCCCTTTTTTAATGATTCCTAACATTCTATTTGCTTTTTGGATTGCTGCTGCACACTGAGTGGATGTTTTCAGAGAACGATCCACAATGATTCCAAGATCTCTCTCTTGAATAGTTGTAGCCAAATTAGTCCCCATCATATAGTGTGTACAGCTCGGATTATTTTTTCCAATGTGCATTACTTTACATTGATCAACATTAAATTTCATTTGCCATTTTGTTGCCCAATCATTTAGTTCTTGTTAAAGTCCTGGTCTTCACAACATCCTCTGGCAAGGAGTTCCACAGGTTGACTGCGCACTGCGTGAAATAGTACTGCCCTTTGTTTGTTTTAAATCTGCTACCAATTCATTTCATTTGGTGATCCTGAGTACTTATGACATTGTTAGACCACTCTGATGTCTCTTTTGCACCTTCAAATTACAAGTCACTTAGATCCTCTCACATTTAGAGCCCTAATTTCCATTCACACCAATAGGAGTTCGGTGCCTAAATATTTCTGAGGCTCCAGACCTGAGTGAGACCTAGGCAGTTCACAGCCCTCGCTCAAGACAAATGCAGCAGCTTCTCCAATCAGCCAAGGATCACAAAGAGTCTCTGGCTTCACAGCAGGGATGGACAACCAGGAATGGTGCATGAGCTGCATGAGCAGCCCCCGCTTCACCTCAGTGGTCCACAGCAACCCTCAGCCCACTGGGGTTTCACCTGCAGCTCTGCGACCCCCTGGACATCTGCCCCCCACCCCCATACACCAGAGTCTCACACTTACCTGTTCCTCCCCCTTCCCTCCCGCACTTTCAGAGCCCACGAATTGCCTGATTCACATTCCCCCCCGGCTCCCACCCCCCCACACCGAGAGCTGGAATGCTGCAAACCAGCTGTTCGCAGTGCTCCAG